ACAAAAGCGTGACGGAATAAAAACGCGACTGGACAAAAGCGCGATGGACAAAAACGCGACTGGATAAAAACGCGAGGGACAAAATGCAAATGGACTGAAAGACAATATCAAACTTACTGATAAACACTCGGTCAATTTGCAATTTTAATCAGACATTTCCAAACTTACCCATAATAACCTGGTAAGTTTGCAAGGTTTATCAGATATTTCCAAACTTACCAATAATAACCGGTTAGTTTGCAACTTTAATCAGACATTTCCAAGCTTACCAGTTATAACCCGGTTAGTTTTCAATCTTAATCAGGCATTTCCAAACTTACCCATAATAACCAGGTTACTTTGCCGTTTTATTCAGACATTTCCAAACTTACCGATAATAACCCGCGTGACTGAACTTTGGTCACCCCCTAATCCCTGCCGGATTATTATCGGTGGGTTTGGTAATGTCTGGTTAAAATTGCAAACTAACTCAAACTGACCGGGTTATTATCGGTAAGTTTGGTAATGCCTGATTAAAATTTCCAACTAGCCGGTTATTATCGGTAAGTTTGGTAGTGTCTAAAACTGCAAACTAACCCAAACCAACCGGGTTATTAACGGTAAGTTTGGTAATGTCTGATTAAAATTGTGAACTCCAGGTAATTATGGGTAAGTTTAGAAATGCCTGATTAAAATGGCAAACTAACCAGGTTATTATAGGTAAGTTTGGTAATGCCTGATTAAAATTGTAAACTACAGGTTATTATGGGTAAGTTTGGAAATGTCTGATTAAAATGGCAAACTAACCGGGTTACTATCGGTAAGTTAGGTAATGTCTGATTAAAACTGTAGACTCCGGCATATTATTGGTAAGTTTGGAAATGTCTGATTGAAATTGCGAACTAGCCGGGTTATTAGGGGTAAGTTTGGAAATGTCCGATTAAAATTGAAAACCAACCGGGTTATTATTCATTTGCATTTTTGTTCCGTCGCGCTTTCGTTTATCGCGCTTCTGTCCAGTCGCGTTTTTGTTCATCGCGCTATATTCCAGTCGCGTTTTTGTTCCGTCGCGCTTTTGTCCCTCGCGCTTTTGTTCTTCGCGCTTTTGTCTAGTCTTGTTTTTGTCCATCGCACTTTATTCCAGTCGCGTTTTTGTCCCGTCGCGCATTTGTCTCTCGCGTTTTTGTCCCGTTGCGCATTTGTCTCTTGCGCTTTTGTTCCTCGCGCTTCTGTCCAGTCGCGGTTTTGTCAATCGTGCTTTTGTCCAGTCGCGTTTTTGGCCATCGCGCTTTTGTCCTGTCGCGTTTTTATTCCGTCGCGCTTTTGACCCTCGCGCTTATCGTATCGCGCTTTTCTCCCTCGCGCAAACGGCTGTCGCGCAAATGACACAGAGCCGAATTTTATAGATAGAGCCTACTCACTTAATCCAACTTATTAGTTTTGTTTCATTTCAAGGTAGGTATTTACCTACATCCAACAAACATCTTGTTAATTTTGGGAAACAAAATTTTTCAAAAAACATTTCATCCTCTTGACAGTGTGGCGGAATATAAACCAGAAGTATCTACAAATACACAAGTGTTAATCGTAGAACAAACTGCAGTTAATAGTTTTGTTTTGAAAATCTTGTTTCCCATAATTACAAGTAGAGTGCGGATAAGGGTGCTACTATAAAACTACTTTATGACAAAAAACTATTACCAACAGCAACCAACAAAAAAAAAAAAAAAACAAAGTGCCAAGATTAGCAACAAAATTGCATAACTTTTATATTTACCAAGGTGGGTGATTCATAACTATTGGATGAAACTGCTAAAGTTTATTCAGTGCCATAAGAGAAGACATTCCATTTTTAAATCCTATTATTTTAAGAAAATGGCCAAAAACACTACCAAACCACTGTGTTCAAAAAGTTTATTGCCCTTTATCGACAACCGGGAATCGGCACGCCAACATGCACGATACTGGTGTAGGAAGAACAGCACAAACGGTTGAATTTGAAGAACAGCTCATTCAGTGAGTTGCAGATGAACCTTCAATTAGCACATGAGAAATTGCACAACACTCGACATCTGGTTTGGACGGTGTTACATGAGCAGCGACTTCATCAATTCCATTTTCAGAAAGTTCAGGAATTGACTCCAGCTGATTATCAGCCTAGAGCTCAATTTTGCTATGTGCTGCTCCATCATATTATCGAGCAACCTAGCTTTTTACACGAGATGGCATATTTAACGACATTGGTTTGTCAACACATGGGCAGGTATTCTTTCGTGGACCTGGCCCGGATGGCATTCCCCCTCTGATGCTCAGCAGGTGTAGCTTTATACTATCTCGCCCTTTGTTTATTTTGTTCAATGAATCACTTAGTAGTGGGATATTTCCTGAGATTTGGAAGCGAGTTTTATCACGCTCATCCATAAGACCAGTGGCAAAATGGACATTACCAAATATAGGCCCATCAGTATCCTTAGCACTACTCCTAAGGTCTTTGAGAATATAGTGACTAAATTCTTAACTTCTATCATCAACCCTTGCCTAATTGAACAGCAAGCAGGTTTCCGGCCAAAATGCTCAACCGAAACTAACCTCCTGTCGTACCAGGATAAAATCTTGGTGATTCTTGGAAGCGGTGGAGTTGTTCACTCCATGTATACCGATTTTGGTAAAGCCTTCGACCAGCAAAACCACAACGTGCTAATTGCGAGGCTTGAGAGAATGGGAATATCTGGTACTCTGCTTGCATGGATCAGTGACTACCTTAGGAATAGAACCCAAACAATCAAGATCATCAACTTCTGCTCACAGCTCATTGACATCCCCTCAGGAGGTGTACCACAAGGATCTCACCTATAACCCCTGCTATCCAATATTTTCATTAACGATATTGGTTCTTGTTTCATTAATAAACTGTGTCTAACCAAAGTTGAACGTTGAAGGTCACTCACCATCCTTGTAACCATAGGATTCCCACGTTCGGACCTATTTTGGTTTGATAAACACAGTGCGCGTGCAAGAAAGACAGCAGCAAAAAGCAACGTCTGTGATATATTCGAGTAAGTGACGTTCAACTTTGGTTAGACAGAGTTTAGTGAGTTCCTGTGTTTTGCCGATGACTTAAAGATATTTGCCTGAGTCTCCTCCCACGAAGACTACCAGATTACAATCAGACTTGGATAGACTTTCCGAATGGTGTGTCACGAGTGGCATGGAACTCAATGCCTCTAAATGTGGAGCTATCGTTTTCCCCAAAAGTCAAAGCCCCAAAAAATTTGTTTACCACTTAAGCAATGAACCACTTGAAACAGTGTCCCAACAACGTGATCTCGGTATCATTTTATCGGTATGAGGTCTCTGAAACTGTTGGGCTTTGTTAAGAGGTGTTCAAGGGACTTCACTAACATTTCTTCCATCAGGCTTCCCTACTGCACAATGATAAGGCCCATCCTGGAGTAGTGCTCCTTAGTTTGGTCACCTATGCATTCTGTCCACATCAATGCCTTGGAGCAGGTGCAGCGCAAATTTGTACGATACTTGGTCTTCAAGGCAGGTATTCCTCCTCCCCAAAAATATATCTACAATTATGATGACCTCTACCGACATTTCAACTTGCAACCCTTAGCCGCCAGACGAAATCAAAGTGATTTATTAACATTTTTCAAAATACTTAACTCTCACAACGATTCCATATGCCTACTATCCAGAATTGGACTTTATGCCCAAGCAAGAACCACGCGCTCTTCCACTACCTTCTCAGAAAAGATTCACCGGACTTACTATGTTTCGAATACTTTTATCTCCAGAGCTTCCCGAATCTCTAATGAGTTCAATACCCTGGACGTTTTCAGTACTCGTGAAAACCTTAAAAGAGAGTTTAACTCCTTGAACAAAGTTCCTGTACCTATTAATTGTTTAATGTGATATTTAGTAATAAAAAATCATTTTATTGTGAGTAATGTTCGCCATCTTGTCATGTTGTTGAGAAGTCTTCTGTTTTTCTATTTTAATTCTTGTTGTCAACTAATTTGTTGTTTAAACGTCTAATTATTGTATACTAGCTTTTACCCGCCCGCTTCGCTGGACGTAAAAATATATCATGTAAAGAAATTTGATTTAAGTTTAAAAATTATGCAAAATAGCGTTACCCGTTATTAGAAAGTTCTTTTGCCTCAGACGCTACGCTATAGAAAAACGCCGAAACACGAGTCTATTATTTTATTAGTAGAGTCTACATATGATTTTTTAAATATCTGTGACTTTTCGTTTCCGAGATACAGAAAATCCCTTTACCCCCATTCGAACTAAAATTACCCCTGTTTCTCCGCCCCCAGTAAAAATTTCAAAAAACTCCGAAATACATGTTCACTTATTTTGTTGGTAGTATCTATACGCCAATTTTCAGATCTTTGCGGCTTTTCATGTCCGAGATACAAAAATCCTCGTTACTATTTCAACCCCTATTTTAACCCCCTTGAAGTGAAATTTTCACTTAGTATAGGTAGATGTTCTGTATGCTATCATGGGATTTCCCGTCAATAAATAAATAAATAAATAAATAAATAAATAAATAAATAAATAAATAAATAAATAAATAGATAAATAAATAGATAAATAAATAGATAAATAAATAGATAAATAGATAAATAAATAAATAAATAGATAAATAGATAAATAGATAAATAAATAAATAAATAGATAAATAAATAAATAGATAAATAGATAAATAGATAAATAGATAAATAAATAGATAAATAAATAGATAAATAAATAGATAAATAAATAGATAAATAAATAGATAAATAAATAGATAAATAAATAGATAAATAAATAGATAAATAAATAGATAAATAAATAGATAAATAAATAGATAAATAAATAGATAAATAAATAGATAAATAAATAAATAAATAAATAAATAAGATATCACATTAGCCATTTCCAGGATATAACATACTTAAAAATTACCTTATGCATTTTTGTCTTGGTTTTTATTTACTTATCTAGTTTTGTAAAATTTTCAGCAAGGTAACGCCGAACCGATCCTTCCAGGAATACTTGGCTCTTGGCGAGAAGACCTCCAAGGAAAGAGAAGAGAACAAACAAAAGAACTTGCAAGGGATATATTTGTGAAAACGACCCACGGAGAAGTGCAAGGTTTCCAAGTATACCTTTTTGACGATCCTAATCCGGACTCTCTATATCGACCTGGATCTGAATTTATTGAGAGGCAAATGGGGATTTCTAGTGTCTTTTTGGGAATTCCTTATGCGCAGCCTCCCATAAATGAGGGAAGATTTAAGGTAATATTAAAATAATTATTAACCACTAGCAATAGGCTATTTGAAAAAATTTATAAAAATATCTTATGTAGGCAAATTTGGCTTCCGAAAGTATAAATATATTTAGGTATATTTACTTTCCTTGGCATATCCATATTTATTTTCAGCCTCCAAGACTTCACAGAGGTTGGCAATTGGTACAAGCAGTTGATTTTGGACCAGCCTGTCCACAACCAGCCAGATACACTGGATCTACTTTAGGAGTTAGAGATATGGATGAAGACTGTTTATATTTAAATATTTTTGCTCCAAATATTGTAAGTCTTTTCAGAGTTCAATTATAATTGTAGTGGCCATTCAAATATGTTATTTCTTTCAGAATGAAGGAATAGCACAAAAATATCCGGTTATGGTCTATATTCATGGAGGGGACTTTATTCATGGGGCTTCCAATCTATTTCCAGGTCACATTATGGCCACCTTTTACAAAGTTGTCGTTGTAACTTTAAATTATCGCCTGGGAGCTTTAGGATTTTTGAGTACAGGGGACGTTAACTCGCCAGGAAATTATGGTATTTTGGATCAAGTAATGGCCTTAAAATGGGTATACGAAAACGCTGAAAAATTTAATGGTGATAGGGATAGTATTACTTTGTTTGGACCAGGAGCTGGTGCAGCATCTGCTGGACTTTTAATGGTAGCTCCACAGACAAGAAATATTGTTACTAAGGTCATTGCCCAGGTAAAGATACTTATTTAGTTGTTTATATTTATATTTTTTTAATTAATACAATAAACTTCAGAGCGGTTCTTCAGCAGCAGATTGGGCAATGATATTTGACAGATACAGAGCACAAAATACTAGTAGGGTTTTTGGAAGACAAATGGGTTGTAGCACAGAATCTTCATGGAGGCTAGTTAATTGCCTTAAAAATTCAAGAAGTGCCTTCGAAATAGGAAACGCTGAGTTTCCTCCTGAGGTTGGATTATTCCCTTGGGCTCCTGTGATAGAAATGAATGTAACAATGCCTTATTACGAGGGTTGGTACGAAAGCGATTGGCATTTTATTGATGAAAGTGTAGAGAGTTTAATTAAAAAGCGGATGTTCAATCCAAATTTGAGATATATGAGTAGTGTTACTTTACAAGAGGCAGCTACTTTTATAAGTAAGTGAAAAATAACTTCAAAAATTTTATTACTAATAATTTATAACTTAAATTAATTTATGTTTTAGCAACCAATAGAAGTCTAGAACCATATTTCGAAATTGACCAGCAATATTTTGACCAGAAAGTTATGGAGTTAGTACTCAGATATAATTACACTTTAAATCCCAATGGTACTTTTGATGCTATTAAGTACATGTACACCTACTGGCCTGATCCTAATAACAGAACAATGATAAGAGAAAAATACATCCAACTATTATCTGATTTTTTATATACATCTCCCAATGATAAAATTGTTAAATTACTACTAGAACAAAATGTTCCAGTTTATATGTATGTCTTGAATACAACTGTTGAATCATTTAGATTACAAGAATGGAGGAAAGTTCCTCATAATATAGAGCATTATCTTTTATGTGGAGCTCCTTTTCTGGATACAGAAATGCTACCGGCAAAAGAACGATTTACTCGAAGCCAGTGGACGAATAATGACAGAAACATGAGTCATTTCTTTATGAGAGCATATACAAATTTTGCTAGATACGGCAATCCCACCTATACTCAAATATTGGGAATTCATTTTGAAGAAAGTAAAAATGGACAGTTGAAATATTTAAATTTGAATACCACTTATAATTCGTCTATAATGTGGAACTTTAGACAAACGGAATCAGCGTTTTGGAGTATGTATATTCCTCAACTTGTTGGGCATTTGGTTCCTACATATCCACCAACAACAGAGGTAAGAAATAAAATATCCTACAGCAGAACTCAAACAAACACAAAGTTAACTTGTTTTAATTTATATATTTTTTTTGTAGTTTTGGTGGGAACCCAGAACGCCTCTACAAGTAGCTTTCTGGACTATGTCTGGGTTTTGCTTGCTATTAATAGTACTATTGGTACTATGTTGTATGTTATGGAGAAACGCAAAGAGGTAAGAAAGGTAATAGGAACCTCTTGACAAATTTATCTGGGCTGTAGAAGGTGTCCTAACAGTAGAACCAACGTAAAATATTTCGAAAACTAACATGGCCACCAATTTAAATCGCATGCATCAGTATTAGTTTTATTTTTTATAGGCATTATTATTATTGGATATTTTGCATTTTCATATTCGCCAACGATTATTGAGTAGAAAACTGCACTTTTAAATTATAGCGCATTCTCATGAGGCATCCCAAAAACATTGAACATGACAAGAAGTACAAACAGTTACATAATTAATAAAAAAATTAGAAAAACTTTTCATTTATTCAAAACTTTATGTCATATATCAGATGTATTATGTGAAAGTGAACAATTGCTTCTTTTTTTTCTTTGGTAGCAGGACGTTTTTATAAAATTATTTTTGATTTCTATTATTCCCATTGGAGAAAGTTCCAGAGGAGGATTTAAAATGTAATACCTACATAGTAATTTTGTTTCCATAGTTCCGCGTAAAATGAAACAAATTAATTTCATACTTGCGAGGTTTATGGAATATTCTACATCACTTGTTCGGTGTAAAGCTGGTGTAGAGCTATAAAACTTTGTGCATGGGTACTCTAACACACAATACTAAATACTAATTACCTATAACCTGGTGGCAATTTTACAGCCCTTCTGGTATAAATTCACTATTCAAGAGCCTTTTGAGTTAACATCTTGAAAGTTAGAGTTGTCATGTTTAAGTCAAAAATTAGGGCCTCAATTACCTATACTTACATAAAAGGAGGACTGGGCACATTTGGAGAAAATAAACTATATAGAATATTCAGCTTTAAATAAGTAACAATTTTTTTTTTAGATCCAAAGATAGGTACTACGATCCATACTTGTACCCATCAGACAATGAGAATGAGGACGGTATCGAAAATACCAGAGATCCAGTTGGGTTTAACGATAAATTTCGGAGTCAAGTTGTGCCTGCACGAACAAATAGTGCATCTTCATTACAGACAGTTTCCTTAAAAGAACTGCAAGGTTTTGTAACGCCAAGTCCCACTGGTGAATATCCAAGAAAGGGGACGCCAGTGTTGCAAACAAGAAATAGAAGCAAATCTCAGACAGCCATATCACAGGGGGTGCCACAGACAGATGTGTAGTGAATAAGTGACAATTTCAACGAACAACGAATTTTTTGTGTGATCAAGTTTTTCAATTCTTACAAATAAGTTTTATTTATTTTGATTAAACTTCATTCATAAATATGTCAACTCCTAGTCAGCATAATATACCTATTTCAGTTTTGGAAAGGCTCTTCACATAGGTACATACCTATCTGCCGAAAGATAGGTACTGATGGAATTTCTTGAAATTTGCCAGTTTAGATTTAATGTTTTCAATAACATTAGAGTTATTCCTACTTTTAATAGGTGTTGTGGAGAAATTCTTCAACAACCTTGTCCTTTTCAGTTTTTCAACTGAAGCAGATTTTTCTTTTGCTAATGCATCTACTGACAAAGCGCTTATAGATAGGTACCAATAAATAACATTTTTTACAGTTTCTTATTATTTATATGTATTTTTAAAATTAATATAGAGTTTGATAGAGACAGAAAATTGGAATTTAGTTTGGTTGACAAAAATGACTTATGTACCGAGTAATCCAAAGAGGACAGATAAGAGCACTATTTCTTATGTCTGTTTAGTGGGATCACCTTGGAAAAAACTATTTGTCACAAATTACTTTGCTTTTGTGAATTTTTGTCTAGATCCGACGTAATATCCATTAAGAGTATGCGCACACTCATGTGAGATACTAAATTATTTTAAATTTTTTGTCTGTGAATGTCAAATTGTGTCCGTCCAATTTGTTATCTATTTAAGTACATACAATAATAGTTCTAGATTTTATATAAGATGTTTGTTTAGGATTCAATACTAAATATAATTTATATACAGGGTGTCCCAAAAAAATTCCGACAAACTTTAAGGGGTAGTAGGGGACATCAAAACAAGCATTTTTGTTTATATAAACATATGTCCGCAAATGAGCCATTTGGGCTGTAGAGCAAAAAAACTGTTCGAAACTTTATTCTTCGCAATAATTAAATCACTGTTTACTTATTAATTTTGCTTTATTAACTAACAAATTATGGTTTAGAATAATTGTTCAAAATGTGGACCATTTACTTCAATGTAAAGATTACACCGTCGGGTCATTGACTGAAAAGTTTAGTCAACAAAACACCTGTTCGTAATGAGGAAGATCTGATAGCAAGGAAACTGGCGAGTTGTAGCCATGTAGAAGCTATTCCCGGAATAATCCAAAGAGTTCGCGAGTTGAAGAATTATTGTAAACCATAATTTATTTGCTATTAAAGCAAAATTAATAAGTAAACAGTGATTTAATTATTGCGAAGAATAAAACTAGATACCAAACAGTTTTTTTGCTCTACAGCCCAAATGGCTCATTTGCGGATATATGTTTATATAAACAAAAATGCTTGTTTTCATGTCCCCTACTACCCCTTAAAGTTTGTCGGTATCTTTTTGGGACACCCTGTATATATCGGCAGTATATTGAAATATTCAATAAAATGTGTGCAATGGAGAATTTTGATCAGAAAATAGATTTGTAGGTAGTGATTGAAGCTTTTGCTTATATTTTTTGCAACCAAAGATTTTTTTATAATTATTGCCGTACTTATAACAAAATTTTAAACAATAAAATTGTTTATTGTAATATACTTACCGATCTCAAATAATATATATTAGGCAGTTTTATTTTAAGAAGCAAAGCATCACCAATGCACCTACAGGCGATAGTGTATATGTATATGAGCTGACACACTTGACTTGATAGAGAATGATTCAACCACTATAGGCTAATCACCCTAAATAGTTCGATCGCCTACTTGAGAAGGTTTAATTCCATCAGGCTATCCACCCAATTGAACAGTCATGAAAGCAGTGGTTTAGTGAGTATAGTATGCCCTAAAAAGAAACTCAACCGATTTTTTTATAGTAGCAAGATTTCATTAAAAGATTTCACCATCTATAACCACAAAGTGTTCAAACTGTATTATTTACAAGATAAGGCTAATAGTTATCTAGGACTGAGTTTCACACCTTCATTTGCGACAGATATTGCAGAAGTATGGATACCTACTTCCAGAATTTGTTAAAATATAGGAACCATTCACGATTTGCACCACAGTATTTGATTATTTTTCTTACATTCTCATAATATGTGAAAAATATACATACGAAATACTCTTGCGACTACAAACATTCATTGATTGATTGATTTGCAACGGAAGCATCTACAGGCAGCTCGTAGGCGCACATATGTCCTATTGTGCTGACCTCCTTTTGGTGGACCCATGTCTCACTTTAGGAGCCCGCTGCGTCTACGACAAGCTCAGACCTGCATGCCCTATTTCTTCTGGGTCCAGAAACCTGTTCCCGAAGTATCTTATTCCATTATTGACGAGGGCGTCGCATTCACAGACTAAATGCTTGGTATATCCGACGACTTCGCTGCAGATTCTACAGTCCGCCTCATTGCTGAGTCCGGTTTTGTGCAGGAGGTATCTGACCTCCCAATGCCCTGTTAGGATGCCTCTGATGGCTCTTAGTTGGTAACTCTTTAGCCCTAGTAGCCTTTTTGTCTCTTTGCAGTTTGTAGGACCTTGTATATAGACGCTTTTCTGAGACTTCATTGTTCAAGCCATTCGTCTTGGAACTGGTTGTCGGAACCCGGTACCCAGACTAGGGTGACCTTGTTGAGCTCACTGACTACTTCCAGGGTTTCATGCAATCAAGCATGAGCCTTTAGTTCATCCTTTCTGAGGAAAGAGCCCGGATCGCTTTCCGTCTTTCTGCATATGTATATAGATGTAATTCATGAATCATTGGGTTCATCACCATAAAAGACAGGACACCATGGTAACTTGGGGAAAAAATCAGTTATTCACAACGAAGCAATTGGAGGATTTTGCTAAAGCAGGAAGGTCCAAATTTAGATAATGGCGTTGCGGCAAAATTGAGTAAGTAAATGTGAGAAAGGGTTTCTCAGTGAATCCAGACATCGACACAGTAAATTATTCGCATAATTTTTGTTTTATCTTATCAATAAGTTGGTTTCTTGTCAAATTTTAGAAGATATTACTTTTTAATCGGCAAACCGCAGTCAAAAGCCATATTTGGAAAAATAATAAAAAGTCGAGTTTACACTTTGCCAAGTTCTACTTGAATCCTGACAGCCAATTCCAAATTCAGATTATCCTCTAATACCTATTCTGAACAAAATAGAGACCTAATATTTTGAGGTTTTAGTTTCAGCGGAGCGCTGCATTTATTATAATGAAAATAAGGTGGTATTTTCATTAAAAAAAAAAAACTTCACCTAGGTAGGTACATTAGTACAGAAGCCGATAAACTGGGTAATAGGTATGATTTAATCAACGGTATGATCGATTTCATCCTCGGGCATTTCCTATACTTAATCACAGAATCAGAAATATAGGTAGGTACCTATTATAATCTGTGCTATTATAACCCAACTTCAATTTTTAGCTGTTTTTTATTTTTGGGAAAAAATCCATCGCAAGACCTTTTTCAAAACATAGGCGACCAAAGAAACAGCTTCCTAGTTTTTCGTACAAAGAAATAGGTAGGTAGAAATATGGAAAAACTAACTCCACAAATTTAGATAAATCGATCGAAGAAGGTTTAGACCAAATTTGAGCCAATTCTGATGCCGTTTTTTTTTGCACCTTTAAGCATTTCACGAAAATGACCCTACGTGTGCGCATGTATATGGGGTGCTGTTGCCCCCTCAAATAGGTAAGTACTAGGTATTTTGATCAGGGATATGTTGAGTGTATTTTTGATATTTAGACGGAGATTTCCTATTTTGCTCTTAGGTTTTTTGCTAATATGAACTATAAACTATAGAGGTGTACCGACTAGGGTATTCGCTGACTAGATAATCGGCCTTCCTAAAGGTAAGAAGATTATGTTTGCAGTTTATTTTGCAATATGTAGAATGTAATGTTTGTTTTTTTTAAACATTTGTTCCAATAGTTGCGTTTTTTGCGGACTAGTCGGCGAATTAACCGACTAGTCGCCGACTAGCGAATTGGCCGAATAGTCGGCTTTCCCGAATAGTCGTCCGCTAGTCGGTGCATCTCTACTATAAACCCAAGAAAATTTTGTCTCGGAAAATAGTTCAATAATCCCTATTTTCATGCTATTCATGAATTAAAAGATAGAATCCTGAAATGATTTAAATGCAGCGACAATATGTAACTCGAACAATGCCTTCCTGCGGATCGACTGATATGATTACTGGATGTAGGGAAAAAGATTTATGATGATCCATCTCCATCTATCAAGGCGCAAATAGAAACTGACACGTTCAGGTAGGAGGTCTCTCCGATAGGCTATATGGATTTTTAGAAGTACATGCTGACAAAAGGTTGATGCCGCAAATGGACTGTCAGACACGCTGCAGCTTATTCGCATCAACACCATCGGGCGTTTGAGTGATCACCTTTGTAGTTGAAGAACTGCATCTTTTTCTACTGCGCTTCATGGCTGATCATTCTACAGGAAATGACCTGAAAGGAGATGAACGAAAAACTATTTTCCATAACTACTGGCTATCTGGCATCCTTGGACCTTGGGATAGAAAATAATACTTCATTGTGAGATAGGACAATCGATATGAATATAAATATTTATATTAGATATAAGGTATTATCGTGGCTTGAATCTTTATATGAATATGTTATTTATGGTGGGGATGAAGCCAGTGCCGGATTTACCAATTTGCCGCCCTACGCCTGTTTTAGGCGCGTAGCCAGAAAATTCAGATGGGTTGGGGGTTTCGCTATTGAAATTAAGAAACATTGCATGACCATAGGGATGTCAGGCAAAAAATTGCGACGCAGGCGAAAATTTTGTAGAATTTCAAGGTCAATCCTTTATATGGAAAGAATAAAATTTTGAGGGTAAAAAAGTATATGCTAAAACATAGGTTTCGTGCTTCGTGGTTTTTAATTATATTTTATGATCAAGTGAGGGGGGGGGTTTAACCCCTAAAACCTCCCCAGTGGCTACGCCCCTGGCCTGTTTAGAAAGGCCGCCCTCATGTTGGCACCAGCGGCGCGTGCCTCAAAAAACGGAGGGGCCAAGAAGATGCAGGACTAGGACACGGACAGTGGCGTACGCATAGCCAGGCGTTTGGGGGTGGACGGGGCAAACTTAACAGGGACGCCAGGATTAAACGAAAATTATTTTGGGTGCCATGCCCAAAAACGTTTATTTTGATCTTTTTTTCATTTTTTTTTTCTGTAATACCTACATTCTATTACACTTGGTACCTACCTACACATTATTTTGATCTGTGTGTGTTCTTTTGTTCGATTCATTTTTTTCATATGCACTTTTTATTTTTAAAACCGGCGTTTACAGGCTCTATAATTTTTTTGGTAGGTATCTGTTCTTTGTCCTTTGTTATTTTTTGTATTTGTTATAATATTGTTCGAATTTATCAAAAACCAAAAATAAAGGTCCAACGCGAAACAGAACCGCGTTTCGCGTTGGATCTTCGGCTTTCTTTTCCCAATTATTTTTTATTTGTGATTCTTTTTTTAAAAATTTGCCGCCTCCCCAGATTTGCCGCCCTACGCCTGTGCGTACTGTGCGTATAGGGAAATACGGCACTGGATGAAGCCAGTTATTAGGTAATAATATAAATACAGGGTGGAAAATTAAAAAGGGATCCACCTGGATTTTCTCGAAAATTATCAGGAAATTGAAAAAACGCCGAGACACGTCGATTTTGTTGGCACGGGGGACACTTTGGCTATTTCAAAATTTTCCTAGATTGCACCCCCTTACGGGGGTGAGTTGCACCCTCAAAAGTTGAATAGGGAAACTGGGTCGAGTGGTCCCTTGTTTGATAGGTATTTGAGATGACTTTACAGATCTGTAATTTTTTTCGAAATCTGACTTCTAGTTTTCAAGATATTCGCCTCGGAAGTTGCCATGATGGGGCGAAAAGAGAACGTGTTTTTCGTAAAAAAATGAAAAGTAGGTCATGTTTGAACGGTTGTTCAAGAGGTTCAAACTAACAAAGAAATAAAGGTTCAAAATATCTGCAAAAAATTCTTCTTGATGTTAATTTGAAGACCTCAATAGATATGTTTTGAAAAAAATCTAATTTTTTCTCAAAATCTAGAGGTCATCTGAAATAGGAACGTTTGGCATGATACCTAAACGCAAAAATAATGTACCTTTACCGTGCATTATCGCTTAGTTCTTAGTCGAATAATTGTTATCTTATCTTTTCATTTAATTTTTTTACTAATCTTTTTATCTTTACAAGATTATTCTTCTCGGATCTTTTTGAACTTGATATTTGATATTTCAGTATTATTAATTTAATGAAATGGTTTACTCTACTGAACAAAGAATCGAACTCGTTCGTATTTATTACCGAAATAATAGCTGTGCTAGAGCTACTGCGCGAATTTTCAACGCAAATCATCCAGAATCAAATGCTGGATATTGCTATGTTGGTAGGTTGATTCAAAAATTTGAAGAGACAGGATTTGTGAAGAACGAAAAACCCCAGCGTTTGCCCAGAGTAAGGGATGAAGCCCCAGAAAATGCCGTTTTAGGGCATGTTAAAGTGGACAGACATACTAGCTTTCGTCAGGTGGCTGGTATCACTGGGATATCCCATAGAACAGTT